AAATAAATTCAAAAATCAAATTTAGAAATACGCTTCTTTGTCAATGATAGGTCCCCTTTAAGGCTAACTAGGTTTGCCAAAAATAGAGTGCATTTGAAACATACATTCCTACAGAGTCATGATTTATCATTCTCAACCCCAAATTCAAACTTTTACAACCGTAGTACTGCAAAGAAAAAAATCTTTGTCCAAGAAATGATTCTTCTGGGTTGCACCTGTAATTAAAAAGTAGCTGTCGACATCTGTACCTTACAGACTCACTAACCGTGGTCTCTCTACTGTCATAGTTACTGATAGCTGCTTTCTATTAAGAGAAACATTTTATCTTAATTTTTAGTAGAGAAAACATTCCCAAATAGAACACATCTGATCGTTTTGTCTAAATAATCTTAGCGCTGCTGTTAGCTATATTTCCTTTCACATGTAATGATACAAAATAGAATAATGTTTGTGTCTCTTATGTTTTGTCATTGGTGTAATAAGTAGTGTTGCTGAAAAAAAATCAAACTGCTCATTCACAGAAATCCTAGCCCTTACCTTTCCTTTGTATTGTTAGCTTTCACTGCTTTAGTTCCCCGTCTCTATGACAACTGTTTAAATTGGGATGGGCAACTGTCATCTGGAGTATCACTGAGAGAAAAGTGTTAGTGAGCACACAGTTCCCATAGATAGAGCATTTCAATATAATCCAATTTTAATTGAGCTCCAGAGACTTTGATGTGCTGCAGAAGGTTGGGAGAGAGCTATTCCAGGGAGAAATTAAAGCAGCCCAGCAAGGCTTCCCTGCTCCAGACTGTCACCATTTTAAGTAAGCATTAGCATCAGACTTAACCTGCCCCTATGGAACATCTCACTTCTTTTTCAGCTCTTCACTGATTTATTTTGCCATACGTAAAAGCAAAGCACTTTCATCTTTTTATATATGTTTTTACACCCATTTGATTAGGCTTGAAAAGCTTGCACTGGACCTGAGATTCGTCTTATGCTGTCTGTTGGACTTTGCTTTGGCGGCTCATAAAAGACATAGAAAGTAGAGTAGGGATTAGCTTGAAATTGTCAGCTATTATATTTTAAACTTCCTTTTTTAATACTGCTTTGTAAGACCTTATTTTTGAGCTAAAAAGTTGAAGGAAGTGTAATTTTTATTTAGCGTTGATTTACCATTGAATTTCATTTTAATGCTTAGATTCATGGTCATTTATTAATGGCTACAATTTTTATTTCAAAATGAATTTAAATACCTTTTCCTCATCACATGAAAAATACCTTTCAGGGAAAGCTGGTTTGGAGCAGCTGAATACAGACACATCAGTCCTTAACAGAGAAACCATTAACCCTTTATTTATTTTTTAATGGAGAGGACAAGGGATATTTTTCCATATGTATTGAAAGAGCCTTTTAAACATTTTGAAATATAATGTTGAATGTAAATTAAATATTCTAGTAATAATGATGTCAAATCACAATATTAATTATAATTAAATAAGTACTAAATATTTTGCTTGTGTAGTCAAAAAGTTTTGTTACAGGTATGAGAAACTTAAGGAAATTATTATCTATTTATGACATACTTGACATTTCTGATCTATATTGGCACATTAAAAAATAAAAACATATGTTGAGAAATTAAGTAATATATGACAGTAATTAGAAATTAGTTTGAGTCTATGCATCATCCTAGATACTTCTAGTACCAGAAAGTGGATTTACTGTAAAGCTAATGAAGCTTCAGCATCAAGACCTCTTACTCTTCAGGCCTTGGGAATGATGGGAGTTGCCAGTAATTGTACAGTGGTTTCAGTTTACTAAATTACCTTAAAAGATCTCAGAAGAACCCAATTTCTAAGGCACTAGTAATTTGCTGTGATTTTCTTCTTGTTCCAGATATTCATGTGCATAGCTTATTATAAACAATGCTGCAGTGAATAATATGGTACATATTTCATCTTGGTTTTGGGAGTATATTCACAACATAAATTCATAGAAATAAAATCACCAGGTCAAAGGGTATATACATATGAAATGTTGATAGATGCTGCCAAAATTTTCTTGATATATTTTACTATTTTGTGTTCCTACTATCACTGTTGTGAGAACTTGTTTTTTTGCTGTAAGCTCAGTATTAGCAAACTGTTGGATTTTTGCCAATCTGATAAAAACAGTATTTTCATATAGTTTTCTTTCTCAAACAATGAATGAGGTTAAGCATGTTTTCAGTCAAGTAAAAGTCATTTTTACTTTTTTCTGTGATTTATCTATTTGAGCTTTTTTTAAAGCAAAATGTTACCCTCTCATTGTCTGTGAGAGGCAATTATTGATAAATAATATGCTTTGTCTAATGTGTGTTATTTTTCCATATTAGATAACATAGATTTATAATATATAATGAAAATTATATACACATATAGATATGTGTGTTTATCCCTGCTTCCAACCTAGATTAATTTCTCGTTTCTCTATGGAATGTCCTCCTAAATATTTAGTGTTATTCGTTCTGAGGATAAGACTTTTTAAAAATTTTCCTGTATACCCCGTAAGAATCTTTCTGCTCTAGCATAAATCAATTACTTATAATTACTTATAATTAGCTAAATATATTAACACTATACTTACTATATAGAATTCTAAACCAGTTTGCCAATGTGGATGTCTCTAGTTTATATTTTTATTTATTTACTAAACATGCATATTGGAGATACATACACGGGTGCTCCAGGCAGCTGCATTCATTGAGTACTTGCTGTGTGCCACACACTACACTGAGCACCAGAGAAAACATTCCACATTAATGTGGGGTTTTGACTGAAACACAGAAATCACCTCTAAATATGGAGAAAATATTATTATTATTTGTATTTTCAGTGGAGAGCAAAGCTTTCATAACATTAGATATTTTAATTTATATTTTATTCACTGGTTATCATTCCTTTAAAGTTGTCAAGTGTAGATAGGTTAATCGTTTTTATTGTTAAACACATTTTCTTTGCGGAAGTTTATGTTTATGTGAGTGATGACAGACAGAGTGATTGCCATATCTGCAGTCTGGACTGAACCTCTCATCTTTTTCACAACACTGGTAATCTGCCAGTAATCCTAAACCTGGGAAATGTCAGAAAACCCCTAGCCACTGGGGCCAGAAACCTTTGAGACTCCTTTCATACCTTTACCTCAGCATAAAACAAAACGCTCTAGCCCTATTCTGTCTCAGAACTGTCTGCTCTTCCTCCCCTCTTCCTACCTGCTGCAACTCTCTTAAGTCAGACTTCCTCTACTTCCTGCTGGCTTAATTCACATTTCCAGTGTAGCCTCGTTCCAAGTCATTCTCCATACAGCTTTCAGAGTGCTCTTTGCAAATGCAGTTTTAATCTTATAACCACCTTCCTCCAGTGCTCTTCATGGCATCACACTCCTCCTCAGAGCTGCCATCTATTGAGAGCTAAGTTAAAATCCCCCCCATTCCAGTTCATCCTCTCTGCCGTGAGGGCTCTGGACAGCCTCTTGCCCATAGGCACGCAACCTCTGTACTTAGAATAGAAACACCTGAGATAAGAACTTTTACACACCATAGCTCACTTAATTCTTTCAGCAACCCAGTAAAATAGCATTCCATCAATCTTACAGATAGAAGCACAAATAGAAGGGCTAGGCTCCATGAAAGGAGGGGCCATCTCTGTCTTGTTCACCAGTGTGTCTCATCACCTAGCACAGTATCTGGATCCTAGTATGTGCTGACTAAATGTTTGTTTAACGAAAAAATGATGCATTATGCCAACAGCCTTTGCCTGGGAACAGAGAACTTGCTCACGATGGCATATTTTCAGCAAAGTAGTATTTTGTCACAAATGTCTTTACAAAGAAAGAATAAAAAGTAAGCAGAAGAGGAAAAAATAGTCGTGGGGCATTCCAGAAATGCAGAAGAAACTTTTAGGTTGTATCTAACCCTAGTAATACTGTTTTCATTGCCTATAAGTTGTGTAATCTCTAAAACCTCATTTTACCCAATTATAGATATTTGGGAAAGATATTCACTTGAAAGCAAGAGGCATTTACTGGGCTATTTACAGTTAAACTGAGCTGTATTTCTCTAATATAGAAAATTGGATGCAGAAGCAAAAATACCATGGGAAATTCAGTAGGTACATTGTGTAGTTGAAGCACTTAGATGTTTTAAAGTGGTTTTATATTGTTTTGTTTTATGTTAAACTTCAAATGCCAAAAACAGAACACTCAAAACCATCTAGTAAGAAGTATATAAGAACAGATTCCAGGAAATAATCAGAGGTGACACACAGAACCAGAGATTGGATCAGAGAATAAAGTACACTTGAAAGGATCTGGGCTGAGGTCAAGCCAGAGACTGCTCACATCACTCCTGACTGAGGGTTCACTAAGGTCTGGGTGGGGAGGACTGTGAAATCATTGTTCAGCACATATATGTAGCACAACCTTCCTGCTAACCTCTCCACTTGATACTTGCTATGTTATTTCATTTCATACAGCCACCCTGCAAAGTAGATGTAATCGTTCCCACTTTATATAAGGGAAACTGTGTCTCAGGTATATTTGGAAACTTTTGGGAAGTTGCACAAACTTTAGAGTGTGTGTGTTGTCCTCCAAGTCCAAGTTCTTTCTACTACAGTGTGGCATACAGATATATAAAAAATTACTTTAGTTCACCAAACTAAGTGCTAGTAAAGTACATACTTATTGATACATACTGGTAGGATGAGAGAACGTGGCAAAAGTAACATTTATACGACCTTGGATAGATACACATTAAAGTAGACCCAACCAAAAGGACTTCCAAAATGCAAATTTCCCAGCATGAGGTTATGTTTCATTTTACCACTTCTCTTCAAGAGAAGGTGATGCTGGAGAAGCTCTAACTTTAAGAGAAAGAAACATAAAGTCTCATGAACCCCAAGCATGCAACTGTGAATACCCAGGCGTTCTTGGGTTTTCAAGTGAAAACATTCGTTAGAAACCCTGAACTCGTGAAGAGACGAAGACTGAGCGGTTGTGTCTGCGTTGCCGACCTCGAGCAGCAGTCGGCTTCTGCATGTAGAACCCGGGAGTAGGAGACTCAGAATCGAATCTCTTCTCCCTCCTCTCTCCTGTGAGATTTTTTTGATCTTCAGCTACATTTTCGGCTTTGTGAGAAACCTTATCATCAAACACAATGGCCAGCAACATTACCAACAAGACAGATCCTCGCTCCATGAACTCCCGTGTGTTCATTGGGAATCTAAACACTCTCGTGGTCAAGAAATCTGATGTGGAGGCAATCTTTTCGAAGTATGGCAAAATTGTGGGCTGCTCTGTTCATAAGGGCTTTGCCTTCGTTCAATATGTTAATGAGAGAAATGCCCGGGCTGCTGTAGCTGGAGAGGTGGGGAGAATGATTGCTGGCCAGGTTTTAGATCCTAACCTGGCTGCAGAGCCAAAAGTGAACTAAGGAAAAGCAGGTGTGAAACGGTCTGCAGCGGAGATGTACGGCTCCTCTTTTGACTTGGACTATGACTTTCAACGGGATTGTTATGATAGGATGTACAGTTACCCAGCATGTGTACCTCCTCCTCCTGCTGCTCGGGCTGCAGTGCCCTCGAAACGTCAGCGTGTATCAGGAAACACCTCACCAAGGGGCAAAAGTGGCTTCAATTCTAAGAGTGGACAGTGGGGATTTTCCAAGTCTGGAAAGTTGAAAGGAGATGACCTTCAGGCCATTAAGAAGGAACTGACCCAGATAAAACAAAAAGTGGATTCTCTCCTGGAAAACCTGGAAAAAACTGAAAAGGAACAGAGCAAACAAGCAGTAGAGATGAAGAATGATAAGTCAGAAGAGGAGCAGAGCAGCAGCTCCGTGAAGAAAGATGAGACTAATGTGAAGGTGGAGTCTGAGGGGGCTGCAGATGACTCTGCTGAGGAGGGGACCTACTGGATGATGATGATAATGAAGATCGGGGATGACCAGCTGGAGCTGATCAAGGATGATGAAAAAGAGGCTGAGGAGGGAGAGGATGACTCTTAAGCACATAGTGGGGTTTAGAAATCTTATCCCATTATGTCTTTACTGAGGCGCTTGTCTAAGATCAAATTTTTCACCAGATCCTCTCCCCTACCTTCAGCACATGCTCACTGTTCTCCCCATCCTTGTCCTTCCCATGTTCATTAAGTCATATTTCCCTGCTCCTAGTCCCATTTTCACTTCCTTTGACGCTCCTAGTAGTTTTTGTTAAGTCTTACCCTATAATTTTTGCTTTTAATTTTGATACCTCTTTATGACTTAACAATAAAAAGGATGTTTGGTTTTTATCAACTGTCTCCAAAATAATCTCTTGTTATGCAGGGAGTACAGTTCTTTTCATTCATACATATGTTCAGTAGTTGCTTCCCTAACTGCAAAGGCAATCTCGTTTAGTTGAGTAGCTCCTGAAAGCAGCTTTGAGTTAGAATTATGTGTGTTACACCCCAACATTAGTGTGCTGTGTGGAACAGTTCAACACAAATGTAATGATGTATTTTTGTGAATGAGGGTTGGCGTGTCAAATGCATCCTCTAGAAAAATAGTGTTATAGTCTTAAGATTTGTTTTCTAAAGTTGATACTGTGGGTTATTTTTGTGAACAGGCTGATGTTTGGGACCTTTTTTCTTCAAAATACTATAAGGACACATGCACACGAATGTTCATTGCAGCACTGTTTACAATAGCAAAGACCTGGAACCAACCCAAATGCCGATCGATGATAGACTGGACAGGGAAAATGTGGTACATATACACCATGGAATATTATGCAGACATCAAAAACAATGAGTTCGTGTCCTTTGTAGGTACATGGATGAACCTGGAAACCATCATTCTCAGCAAACTGACACAAGAGCAGAAAATCAAACGCCGCATGTTCTCACTCATAGGCGGGTGTTGCACAATGAGAACACATGGACACAGGGAGGGAGCACTACTCACTGGGGTCTGTTGGGGGAAATGGGGGAAGGATGGGGGGATGGGGAGGTGGGGAGAGATAGCATGGGGAGAAATCCCAGATATATGTGAAGGGGAGGAAGGCAGCAAATCACACTGCCATGTGTGTACCTATGCAACAGTCTTGCATGTTCTTCACATGTACCCCCAAACCTAAAATGCAATAAAAAAAAAGAAACCCGGAACTCATATTTTATGATAGCTTTCAGTTGCTAATTGTCACTGAAAAAGAAAAGCCTTTAAAACCTGAAAAATAATTCACATTCATCTTTTCTTTCTGGTCCCTGATGAGCCTGCTACCTGCCTGGCAGATACTTGATAAATGGTAAATATCTTTTGAATAAATGCTTTTTTTGAGCAGTAAGCTTTTAATACATCATAGAAATTTACTAGGAAGACAAGGAGGAGAAGTTACTCTAGAACAAAATGTGGAAATGTTTAATATCTGTGTGTTTTTTTTTTAATTCCAATAGACTTTACTTTTTTAGAGCAGTTTAAGTTTACAGAAAAATGAACAGTTAATACAGAGAGTTCCTATATATGTGTGTATTGGTCGTATTTTTTTTCCCCTCTTCAAAGAACAGACATGAAAGTAACATCTGACAATTTTTTTCTTTTTTTTTTTTT